TCAGATCATGCAAGAACTTCCTCACTTCCTGGAACTCATTATCTCTCTTCTCTTGCATCTGTTAGTTTTGTCACTATGAATATTCTAAATTCTTTGATATTTCTACAAGTTCCATTGTATTGTTGTAGAGAATGAGGAGTTATTCTTTTCTCTTGGGGGAGAGATATTTTCTTGTGCCTCTGCAGTAGTTTCTGGTCATCTGATGGAGTATACATTTTATTTCTAATATTTGGTATTAAGTCTAAGCTTTCCAAGATGTGCAGGAGGAGGGAATCTGTAACCTCTCTGTAATACTGTTTTTCTCCCTTTGTACAGCAGGTTCCATGGAAATTGAGGATTACTCTGACCCTGACTGGATCTTGGGGTTGGGATGGTGAAGTCTGGACAGAAAATCTTCAGTTGCCCTAGTCCCTGAAAGGGGCTGCTCAGAATTCAAATGTAGATGGCCTGTGATTGGCCTTTCTTGACTAGATTTTGGGGTCAGGATGATGAAGTCTCCAAGGAATAAATCTAATGAAAAAAGTCAAAGATCTCTATAAGAAAAATTATAAGAAACCAAAATAAATAAATAAATAAAGTGAAATGACACAAAAAAAGTAGAAAGACAGTCCATGTTCTTGGAAGAATAAATATAATCAAAATGTCATTCAAATTATTCTACAAATTAAATTCCACCCCAATCAAATTACCAGAAATATTCTTCACAGGTTTAGAAAAACAAACTCAGAATTCATATGCAATTATAACAGACCCTGTATTGCCTAAGTAATACTATACAAGAAGAGCAGAATAGGAGGCATCTCACTCCCTGACGCCAAAATATATTGCAAATCTGTAATAATCAAACAGCATGGCATTAGCACAAAAACAGACATGTAGACCTATGGACCAGAATCAGAAGTAAACCCTCAAACATACAGACAACTGATTTTTGACAGAGGGCACCAGTCAATCCAGTGATGAAAAGAAAATATCTTTAGCAAATGATGTTGGAAAAATTAAATCTCTTTAGTAAATGATGTTGGAAAAACAATCCCATTAGGAGACTGAGGAAGGTTCAGAAAAGAAACCAGGAATGGGTATTTTAAGGAGTCAGGATAATTATTCAAGGGAAGACTTAATGTTGAGTGAAGTAAGCCAGAAATTGAAAGATACGTCAGGGTACACACCTGCAGAAAGATAAAACTGGACACCTATCTCTCACCATTAACAAAAATAAACTCAAAATGGATTGAAGATCTAAACCTAAGACCTCAATCTACAAAACTACTGGTGGATAATGCAGGAGAAACTCTTGGAAACATTGGGGCAAGCAAGGACTTCTTGAATAAGACCCTTAAAGCACAGGCAATAATCCCAACCCTTGGAATGGGAGAATATATTTGCAAACTCTCCCTCAGGCAAGGGACTGAGGACCAGAATATACAAGGAACTCAAGTGGCTTATGCTAAAATAAATGCTTAACCCTATTAAAAGTGAGGAAATGAGCTGAACAGACAACTCTCCAAGGAACACATATGAACAGCCAAAAGGCTTATAAGAAAATCCTCAATATCCCTTATCATAAGGGAGATATGATCATAACTACAATGATACTCCACGTAACCTCAGTCAGAATGGCTAGGAGTAAAATAAAGTAAAATTAATTATTTTTAAAAAATAGGTAGTGATAAGTACTGGGGAGGCTGTGGTGAAAAGGGAACTCTCCTACGCTGTTGGTGTGAATGTAAATTAATACAGTACAGTCACTGTGGCGAACACTATGGAGGTTCCTCAAAGACCTATAAATAAAAAAACCATAATCCAGCAATTCCTCTCCTGGGTATCTACCCAAAGGATAGGAAAAGGCTCAGTCAGAAAAGTGCTTGCACATCCATGCTTCTTGTAACATTATTCATAATTGCTAAGACATGGAACCAACCCAAATGTCCACAACAGATAAATGGATTGAAATAGAGTGCACATATACACTACAGAATATTACTCAGACATAAAAAAATGTAAGATCCTATTATTTGATAGAAAGTGCACAAATATGAAATGTTTACTGCCAAGTAAAGCAAGTCAGACTATGAAAGAGAGACATTGTCTGTCCCCATTCAATATATGCAAAATGTCTGCATTGAAAAAAAACCTGAAAGACTGGATGGTATAAAGCTATGAACAGCAACTGTGGGTACCAGAAACACTGTGGTAAAAGGGTGGGGAAATGGTGGGGGGTGAGAAGGAGGAAAATCAAGGTGTAAAAGAAAGAAGCAAAATTTTTAAGGAATACAAATATGGAAAATTATCTGTTGATGATAATTTGTATGGTAATATCTATGATTGAACCAATATATATTGTGTTCAAGATGAGAAAGAAAAAGAAATGAAACATAAGATTACAATCAATATGAAAATAAGTACAGCTCACTTCAATTGGAATTCATAATTTCTAAAATTCCAATTCATAATTTTCTAATGAAATAATTTATTGTATTCCTTTGGGGGATAATTCAAATGGGATTAAATTATTTCTCTGAACAAAAAAAAAAAAAAGGCCTCAAATGAGGAAATCTCACCAAGTGCTGAGTCATTAGGAGATTGAGGAAGGTTCAGATAAGAAACCAGGAATGGGTATTTTAAGGAGTCAGGATAATTATTCAAGGGAAGACTTAATGCGTTAAGTAAGCCAGAAATTGAAAGATACACACTGTGTTAATACATCCTTTCTCAGTTTGTACTGTGTTTGCCTCTATGGCAGAGATTGAAAGATCTAAAAATATGATGGTGGAGCGGTTGGGTATGGGTGTTAGAGACTGTAGGAGAAGAGAGTGGATGATAGAGAATAAGCGATGGAGGGTAGGTGTGATGTGCAAAGGGATGAAACATTTGACAGACATTTCCTATTAGAAAAAAATATATATAGTATACATAATGATGGGGACTTTCTGTAAAATGTGAAATTAATAAAAATAAATACATAAAAGAGAATAAAGCTTAAAATTACTCATGGAAAAGTGATTGACTCTGATTTATTCTAAAGAAGAATGATTTGCACATGTCTGTATCTTGTACCTATAAATACAAAGATCACATGGAGCTTTTCAAGATACCTTGATGCTGTTTTCTGACTGTCTTCCTATAACCAGTTACAGAAATAATATTCCTTCTTCTCCAACCTCCACCTCCCATTTCATTGACTGAAAGAAGCAGCAATCAGACTTAATTGAACAAGAACACGTGGGTTCAATAGACCAATGCAAAACTGAGGAAAGATCCTTTAAAAAAAAAGAAAAAAAAGGAAGGCAAAAAGAACACATCATAAGTCACCCCTCTACATCCAAATGAGCGAATGAAACTCCCCAGTTCTCTCATGTGCAGGACTTAACTCTTCCTCTGTCAATCACTGATGCAGGATGCTTTTTTCTGCTTTTCAGACAGTAATCAGTCAAGGCCCAACTGATGGGAAAGTCAGTAGCAACTAAACTGTAGTCCTGGAAGCTGTATTGAATCCCTGAGTCAGCTTCAAAACACACCAGGTGAGTGCACATGTGTCCAGGATACTGAGGAGCTGGAGGACCAGAGGAGAGGGATCATGGCTTAATGAGAACCAGTTAAAGGTCTCTCTCTCTCTCATGAATAAAGTTTTTTTTTTTTCTAATTCCTCACTCAGAAGGCCTTGCCTTAGGCAGGCCCCTTGCAGCTGGTGGCTGTGTGGCAGAGACTCGTGGTTCAGTCCCTCCCCCACTAGCCGTTGAACTCTTGGGACTTGGAGAAGACCTTGTGCCCCTCCCTACCCCATCCAGACATACATTCCAGCACAGGGAGACTGAGCTGCAAATAGACTGTGGTTTATCCCCTCCCACATGCCTCTGAAATCTAAGCCTTCGGTGTTTTCTGAGGGTGCAATGTGTCACACAATCCCTTCTATCTTCCTAAATTAAAGCCCAGCAGTGCAGTCTCAGGACATCTGCTCTCTAGAAATTGAAAGGACTTTTTTTTTCTTTTTCTTTTTCTTTCTTTTTTTTTTTTCTTTTTTTTTGAGAGGTTTTGCTATAGGGTGCATG